AACAACAGTTTCAGCTGTCCTTAATGCCTTAATGTAATGTGATTATTAAAACAGTAAAACACGAGGCACGCCTGCATCTCTCGCGACAAAGAAATAGATGCTAAAAAATAAAATTTATTAAGTTTATCATTTTTTTTAAAAAGTTAATACTGGAAAGTTCAGTTCGATGATTTTAAAGCAGACATTACAAAAGTGGTTGCAGTCTTTTCATGGCCTATCATAAAAAGAAAAGTATAATTTAATAAAAAAAGTTCCAAAGGGGGCTTTTTTTCCATTGGGTGTATTTAAAAAGTGCTTCATTTTACCCTTTTCGAAAATGAGATTCATGTCAATTCTCGTCACGTATTATGTTAAAGCGTGCTTTTCACATTGTTCTATTCAACGTTTTCACAATTCATTCAGTTTGATGAATAAGACACTCATCAAGACTTTAATTCTTAGAACTATTTTTGAATTAGTGTTTTATATCCGATTACAAATTTTATTTTATTTTATGTCCGTCGTTAAACAGCAGACCCAATTTTTTGGGTTTACGACTACAAATGTTCAACTCCGTAGCCTTGTAATTTTGAACCCATTCCAGAAGACAAGGGAACTCCCGGATCAAATATTGGGCGAAATTTGCCTTCGTGGACGACTTTTCAATGGAACTAACTTGCATTTGTGTTACATGGAAGACCGCGATTAGCCTGACAGCAAGGGGACTCAAACCCGTCTACCACTGAGGATATTTCACGCCAGAACTGTGGTCGGTGCAAGCCGGATGCGGAATTGATATCGACCAGCCATCACCGAGATTCGAACCCGGTTCAAAAAATTCTGTATAGCCTTCGGTTATACACAATTTTCCTGGCACCTGCGGTTTTGATTTTACATTTATTGTCTTCGATTATGGCTTGAAAAATTTTCCTAACTTCTTCACTTAAACATTAGTTTGCGATCCATAGAAAATGTTTTATTTCATTTTTTAGAGAGCTCGAAATAAAAAGAGGAGCAAGGTACTCAATCTTAGCAAATAAGTGGTGGCCGTGTCTCACGGAATAGACTCTCCCAAAGACTCTCAGAGATGGCTGGTCGATAGGATGTGGATGTTCAGATCATTAATTAGAGTCCCGTCACACTAACCAGGGAAAATTTTCGTGGTTTTTCTCTCCATGTAACGCAAATGCGAGTTAGTTTCATCGAAAAAAGTCTTCCACAAGGGTTAAATTTCTCCTAATACTTGATCATGCAGTCTTCTGGATTGGGTCAAACATTTTTAGGCTACAGAGTTGAACATTGATAGTCGTAAACTCACAATCGGGTCGGCTGTGTTCAATGATGGATATAAAATAAAACTAATAAGTACGGAAAATATTTTTAAGTTACAAACTCGGGACCAAAAACGAATTTCCTATTATTAAGCCTTTTTCGAACGATTTGCTTTTCTTAACTCTAAAAAAATATGGGGTTAACTGCAAATTGGAAAATATAATCCCACTTGTTCAATCTGGTGCGTGGTTGAAACATAATATTAATTTCCCTTTTTGTATATTTGCAATTTAAGGGGAATATTTTTTCCGCACAATTATGAAAACTGTCTTTCGAATTATAATTTGAAGCTGAAAAAAGTTCTTATATTTAATATTTTCAAATTATAAATTTAAGAATTTTAACAAAATTTAAAATGTTCAGTCAATGTTATTTTTTTTTGTCATTTATATAAATACAACTTTAAATAACAGATTTAAATTTTATAAATGATAAAGAAATGAGATTAAAACTTATGAGTTTTTTAGACTTAGTGAGTTTTTAAGACTAGACTTTTAAACTTAAAAATTAGAATTTTTTTAAAAAAACTTTTTAACCCAAGAACTGCATTTTCATTCTTACTTTCTAATCGCGCTTTTATTCTAGGTGACATTTAAAATTTTTAGACTATCATTAAATTAAATAGTACTGAAAATGTAATTTTTGCATTGAATTATTTTTGACTAAGTGTGTTTCATAATAAGGAGCAAAAATCGTTTGATTTGCTTAACTATTTGCAGAGATAAACTGAAGCAGCAAAAATTGGAAATTAACATTAAAGTGTAGACAATTTTGGTCACTTTTCTGATTTAACTAGTGAGACCGTATTTTTAAGATGGCGCGGCTATCACTATAATTTAAGGATTAGGATTCCAAATCTATCACAAAAAAATTATGTTTATTTAGAGGAAGTATACGTTTTTGTGCTTACGTTTTTTTGCTAACTTTTTAGTTGCTTAGCATTATTACGTCGCATTAGAGCTGCACAATGAGCTGTTGGCAACGATCTGGGTAACATCCCTGAAGATGATCCTCTGCAGAGGGGATGGCTCCCCTGCTTTGGTAGTTCTGCTCGCGAATTGAAGCTCTTTACGGTAGAACAATTTAACGAGGACCGATACCGTGCACCATCAGTCCCTACGCAGGCTGATCCAAGTGGTCACCCACCCTCTCACTGACAGCAGCCGACTTCGGTGCTGTACTGGGTCTTTTCGATCAATCCACTGCGGAACCATAGATACAGAAGGGAAGATGACGCATTTATGGTTTAGGGTACTCTCGACCTCCATACTTTAGAATGTTTTGAAGATGAACAATATCCCACGGTAACGCATGTTTGTTGATGTAGTAAATTTACATCGCACTAGATCTGCACAATGGGTTATTGACGACAGTCCGTGAAACATCCCATAGGATGATCCGAAGGCATGCCATCACAATTTGATTCTCTGAAGAGGGAATGGCACCCCCGCTTCGGTAGCCCGACGCGAAGTCGAGCACTTTACGGTAGAGAAGTTTAACGAGGACCAATACCGCACACCCTCGGTCCCTACGCAGACTGATCCAAGTGGTCACCCACCTGCACACTGACCGTAGCCAGTGAAGCTTGACTTCGGTGATCTGCTGGGAACCGTGTCTTAACGATCAGTCCACTGCGGGACAATTATAGAAGGAAAGCCCAAAGTTACAAGCACCGAGATTCGAACCTGCTACCACTCTAAGCTTCCTCATTTTTAAGCGCAGAGCTGAATAATAATACCTTTCGGCCACTGAGGACCAAATTTTCTATACACAAAATATTGAAGTGTGCCATAAATTAATCGCTATCGGTTTCTTATAAAAGTATAATAATACCGAAGTTAACATGGATAGCGAGTTTATTCTAAAATTTGGAAACATGCCACAATCATATTATTTCCAAAACCTGGTAAAAACCACCTAAATGCAGAAAACTACAGGCCAATTAGCCTCTTTATCCATGGAAAGGATTATACTTAATCGACTAAGTTTCCTCCCAGATGAACAATTTGGATTTCGGAAAAATCTCTCAACAACCAAACAATTGATCAGAATTATTGAATTTATAAGCGAGGGTTTCTTTAAAAAGCAAGCCACTGCCTTACTCATGTTGGATGTCGCAAAGGCGTTCGACAGAGAATGGCACACTGGGCTAACCTGCAAAATGATTCGGCAAAATATTCCAGGCGACTTCATCCACATCATTAACGATTACCTAACATATAGGTCATTTCAAATTAAAATCAATGACTATTTCTCAACAAATAGAAAAATTCAAGCAGGTGTGCCACAAGTATCTATACTGGGACCAGTACTTTTCCTTATTTACTGTTCAGACTTCCCTGTAAAAAGGGGAGATCCAAATTTTCAAACGGCATTTTACGCAGATGATACTGCGATCCTCAGCAGGTCACTTAATGTTAATAACGCAATCAAATGACTTCAAACTAATATAACTGACTCTGAAATCTGACTTTGAATAAACAGCATAAAATCGAATCTAATAATTATTCGCAAGACCGACAAAAAGAGAAAAATCAATTATGAAAAAATCATTTTATTTAATGAGGAAGTACCCAAAGTCGACAAGGCTAACTATCTAGGCATCATTATAACATTGCTCACTAAACTGGAAATTACATGTATCAAGCATCCTGAGAAAAGCAGAAGCAGCTTATCAAGCCCTTAAACCAATCCTAAACAAAGATAGAAAATTGGCTTTACACACCAAAAGGCATATCGTATATCTGATGTGTATCAGACCGATATTCTGCTATGCATCCCCGACCTGGGGGACTCTCTCAAACGCCCGATTTGAAAATAAAGTTATGAGTAGAGTTACAGGGGCTCACTGGTTTGTTCGAAATAACACACTTTACAACGATCTTAATATAGATAAAATCGATGAATACCTATACAAACTCAACGCTACCTTTTTTAAAGGTGCAAAAAATTGCTCTACGTGCGATTTTAACAAACTATTAGATATTGATTTTATCGAAACTTCAGTCCGTTTTTTTTTCCTGAGCGTTCTATCTTTTGGCATTTCAGTTAATCTTTCTGGACAAGCTCTGCACCAATGAAGCCCGGCTACCGGGGGGAGGCGAGGGAGTCCTCCCCATTTGTAAATATCTTTTCTTTTGTAAATATCTTATTGTTTTTATTATCTTATGTACTATTTGCGATATATTTAACCCAGATTTGATTTCCCAATTGTATTTATAAGAGATTTAACAAATGTTAAGCACCGCCCTTCCTTTTACCTAAACTCGGTGAAGGAGCAGATATCCGCCTAGGATAGCCACTCCGAAAATACTTGTTGTTGCTAATTTACGTCGCTCTAGAGCTGCACAATGGGCTATCGGCGACGGTCTGGGAAACATCCCGGAGGATGATCCGAAGACATGCCATCACAATTTTGATCCTCTGCGGAGGGGATGGCACCCCCGCTTCGGTAGCCCGACGACCTGCGCAAGAAGTCGAGCACTTTACGGTAGCACAGTTAAAGAGGACCCATACCGCACACCCTCGGTCCCTACGCAGACTGATCCAAGTGGTCACCCACCTGCACACTGATAGTAGCCAGTGAAGCTTGACATCGGTGATCTGCTGGGAACCGTGTCTTAACGATCAGTCCACTGCGGGACCGAAAATACTTGAATAGTTAGTTAGTGGATAACGAGTTTGTATTGGTCCACCTATAAGGGCTACTGTTTTGTAGCATCTCTGAAAGTCATGGGAAAAGGGCCGTGAGACGCCCACTTCCACTACAACGAACATAGCTGACGTTTTATTCAACTCTAGTGGATTATTGAATTCGAAGTTAGCTTCAATTTTAATTCCTCTTTCCGATTTTGACGAAAGGTGACTTCAAATTTTGTCTTTTTTCTAATAAGAAAATTTAAATATTGTTTTTTAAAACTCCGAAAAGAAGGGAATTTTAATTGCTTGGTATGTAATGTTCAATACTCTACCACAGAATTCTATCCTGTATAAGTATGATTAATTTCATTTTCATGATTTTCTTTTGTAAAGAAAAATGTACTTGTCTTCCAACTGTTACAATCGTAGTTTGATTACTATGACTTGTGCCTTCATATGTTTTATTTTATTTTTATCCTTCGATAATATAACTTTATTAAAATCTGAAACTTCTATTGAATAAATGCTTTCATGAAAACTTTTTTTTTTTACAGTATTGAAGATAAAAATGGAAAATTTTATTGATTTAAATGCAGATAATTTACTTTAGATATGTATCTATTACAGCTTTAAAAGCAGATTTTTCAAGTTCCCAAGCTTTGAAAATTTTTAATTTCGAACATTGTATTTGGATATTTGAGTGCCTTATCATTTAGATTTTATAATTTAAGATACGAAAACTGTTCGTATCGTGCAAGTAATTATTTTTCACTTTGTAGCTTTTGGTAATCTTTATGAAAATCTAATTCATGCAAAACCATCTAGTTTACGGACAGCTGCATAATTAAATTCAAATTTTAAAGTTACTAACGATGTTAATTCTGTCGTGGTCACTTTAAGAAATTATTTATTTTTTATTGTTAACATAACCGAAAAGTTAGTTTTTAAATTGTGACAAAATATAGCTAAAAATTACTTACTTGGAGTACTGAAGCTGTAAGCTTTATATTTACGATACTGTTTTAAACTGTTACTTAAATTACGGTAAAATGATTTTTCTAGTTTTTTACTAGAGATGAATAAACCCCTTNATTGTGACAAAATATAGCTAAAAATTACTTACTTGGAGTTCTGAAGCTGTAAGCTTTATATTTACGATACTGTTTTAAACTGTTACTTAAATTACGGTAAAATGATTTTTCTAATTTTTTACTAGAGATAAATAAACCCCTTATGTAAAAATAAAACTTTTCGCCATACAAATTTTAAAAATCTTTGTTGAACATCAAAATTATTCTCGGTATGGGAGAATTTTGAGCTGATATTACTCCATAGTTTTAAATTTTATCCGTTATTAAAGATTAAAATTTCAGTGTTTTATTTTCCGAAAATCCCAATTTCGATATTAACTTTTTCCAAACTTAAATAAGGAATCATTATTGTACAAAATATTTTCGGGACTCAAGTTATTGACTTTTTAAACAAGAAGTTTGGTTTATAGCATTTTGTGTAATAGAAGTAATGTGCAGTTCTTAAAACTTACTAACTTTAAGATATGAATGAATCAAAATTTATCCACAGATAACTGAGCCTTAGTCAAATTCGTTCGCATTAGTCATTTAGATTCCTATATTTTGTATTCAGAATGTTACCTTGCCGTAGTCAAAGCATGGCGAATGTTAAATTTTATACGTAATCTATATTTTCAATGAATTTAAGGAAACTACCCCAAAAAAATGATCAAAATATCGGTATTTTTTTATTGCTTATAATAAAACTTTAAACTATTTCAAATGCACTGAAAAAAATCATACCTTTATCTACATTTGTAAAAATGTTATTAATGATTTTAGATTGCCCTTCAATAGAAATTTGATCAGCAGACAGACTTTAAAGTGCTTTTTCTCAAAGATGACGATTTTGTGTATTAATCATAATTAAATCCTTAAAGAATTTTTTTCTGTTTACATAAAGCTTTGAAGTAAATTTTTTTATCTTAAGTAAAATACGCTTATTTAAAATGTGCATAGAATAAGCAATTTATGGGGGTATTACAATTTTTACAGCATGTTATATATACCTAACAGAAATTTTAACCTCTTTTGCAAAATAATCTATAAAAAATGCTCTAATTGATATATTAACAATTGAATGCATAGAATTGTCAAGATGAGAATTGTAAGCACTAAGAAAAAAAAATTGAAAATATGTTTAAATAAAAAGCCTTAAGGATTTAAAAATCTTGAATTTTCAAATTTTTTTTTTAAATTTTAAAAAATTAAACAGTTTAATTATTTCTTGAAGGCAAATTATGGATTGTAAGTTAAATGAGCATGTAAAGCATTCACAAAATGAATGATTATGCTTTTATTTAAAAAAAAAAAAATTTACAAGGGTGCGGTGACCGTTAAGTTTCCTTTTGAAAGAATGCTATATCACGGATTATCTCTTCATCTGCGTAAGTAATATAAAAGTTTTATGAAATAGAATGCAAATTGGGGTAAACTCTGGATTTTTTAATGTATGAAAACTTGAGCCGCGATGGCTCAGGCCGATGCCGCATCCGGCTAGCACCGACCACACTGCTGACGTGAAATATCAATAGTGGTAGACGGATCATGGGTTAGTCCCCTTGCCATCAGGCTAACCGTGGGAGGTTCTCGTGGTCTTCCACTCCATTTAACGCAAATGCGGGTTAGCTCCATCGAAAAATCCTCCACGAAGGTAAATTTCTCCCAATACTCGATCCAGGAGTTCCCTTGTCTTCTGGATTGGGCTCAAAATGACAAGGTTACGGAGCTGAACATTATTGGTCTGAAACCCATAAAATTGGGTCGGCTGTTCAACGACGGTTATAAAATAAAATTAAAAAATATATGAACTTAAATTATGGTAGGGTTTCTAGAGATTCCGTAATAGGCAGGATAACCTAAAATTCAGGAAGTTATCTTGCAATAATATGTTTGCATTTTTATTTTTGAAAAATATTTTCCTCATTTGAGACTTAATGGTTTATTCTATGTCTACCTGGATTCTCTTTTTCTTTTCTAAGTTAAGGTGACCCGAGTATCTTTGTATTTTTGAGAGAAAAAGTCTCTAATTTGAGTAGTTGTCCTCAAAAACTCCTTAAAGACAGAATGTCCTCAAATCTTAATGTCTTTAAATTGTTTGAAAACATCTCGTCGTTTTTATTTTATGCTATGAAATATCAAGAATCAAATGCCTGTGATTTACTGAACAAAATAATTTTGCCTTTCCGTGAATACTAAGAATGACATGCTAAAATTAATTTACGGGAACTCCGTTTCAGCGGAGAATAAACTAGTAATCATTACGTCTTTTTTAAAGTCTTAGCAAATAAAGAATATTTTTTATATTAAAACTGCTGAGTAATGACAAAGCTTGTTTCTTCATCTAATATTTTTAAAAATATATGAGTGTCCTCGATTATTAATTTGCTTTTCTAATTTGTTTTCAAACCATGGTTTAGTGATGTGGTCGCATTGTTCTAAACTTTAAATTTTGAGTCAGCAGTTGCCATTAAGCTTCTAACACGATATAATGGTATTTTGTGAAGAGTTGTTATCGACAATGTCAACCTTGATCTAAGAAAAGGTACCCCAAAATAGAATCAAATTAAAATGCCTTACATACCAGTGAATTGGAATTTTATTTTTGTGGTGGTTGACACCAGGGCTAAAGAGTTCACTCCGCTCTTAGAGCTGAAGCTACGATTTCCCTCGTCATTGTGTCCACAGATCTCGGAGATCGCAAGCAAAGATATTATGATAACTTTGCATCTTTCTCTTTGTAAAAATAAGTGAGACTTTTTCTGGTTATTAGCTTTCAAACTTTACGTAATTAACACATTATTTCCATTCATAAACATAGTTCAAAAAAACTTTCTTGGCCATTATATATATACATACCCTCCAACTGCTACGGAATTTCCGTAGTTTCAGAAATCTTCTTTTCAGACGGTAGCAAAATTAATGTCTTAATATTTAAAAAAAATTAATTTTAGCGTAACTTGTCCACTATTACTTATAAAAGTGCAGGCCATATGGCTAGATTCTTAAGTTCTGATAAAAGTTTTATGAGAGATCCATTTGCTTTAAAAATTTCTACTTTGGTTCGTTACCACTAGAGAGAATCATTTTCAAAATCCTCATAAGTTGGAGGGTATATCTATATATATATTTCTCTTACACGGCGACAAAAAAAAGCCTCATTACAACTAACCGAATGGCAACGCTAGAAAATCGACCAATGATTGCCGCTAAAAATGTCACATGCCAAATTTAGCTGAGATGGCTCAACATATAGCGCTTTTAAAAACAGAAACTGAAATGACCAGAGAGAGCATAAGCTAGGCAGAAGTGAGTACTCTTTGTCGATAGATCTTTATTTTAGTATCTTGCTGAAAGCTTTTTTTCACGAATTTATATATCACGAATTTATTTGACGGTTTTTGATTTATATCACGAATTTATTTGTTTTACTAGAATTTATTTGTTTATGCAGGTTTTTCCATTGCAATTCATTTATCTTAATTTTTAATAGACTTATTTATAGCCAAGACGCCCAGCTGAGCGGTAGCGCTTCGCGCTGTCGTGCCACAGGTCCCTGGTTCGATCCTCGGACCGGGCAAGGTTGACTCAACCTTTCATCCCTTCAGTGGGTCGATAAATGAGTACCAAGCATGCTTGGGAACTAAACACTGGGGGTTCCGCGTTCGGCTGACCACCTGACCGGAGCATCTGCTCCTGCACCCCAGAGCCCAAGGTCAAGAAAACTGAGATGGACACAGTAGGCCTCGACCCTCTATGGGCTGTCGCGCCGCTGAGTTTATTTATAGCTAAACTTTTAACCTTTTTAAAGAGATATTAGTTTTAGAAATTTTATCTTAAGATTTTATACTATAGACATTTCTAATAGGTTTAACGAATTACATGTCATTTATTTGAATTCAAATTTATTTTAATGACTTAGTATTTACTAAAAAGATGTAATTTTCTTTTTTAAAAAAAGTTGTTATATGGATTTGACTGATTGTTTTGAACTCTCAGAATTTTGTGCATTTGCAATATACCTAAGTTAGGAGCGAGCGAAGCAAACCATATAAGATTGCGTAGCAATTTTCGGGGGTTGGCGAGCGTTAGCGAGCAGGGGGCGCAGCCCACTAGTTATAAAGAAAAATTTAGAAGCCCTTACAAGCTCGAGTTGGGGTTCTGGGAACGAATACCCTCCTGTAAATCAGTTCATGTTAACAAATAATAATAAAATAAATGTTTTTTAAAACTACTTTGTTTAGGTAGACTAAAAAGGTGAAAGTTTTAAATTTTTATAACACTTTAAATAAAAAAACGTTAAGTTTATCACATTTTATAAAATAAAAGAAAAACGACGATGAATTGCTTGAGGTGATAGAAGCTTATGGCAAAAAAGAATTCATACATCATGGCGGCCAAAATTATTTTAAATCTAATTCAGAGCATTATTTGTGACACAACCGTAACACATTTTAAGAAGTTTTACTTCAGAAATTCCGTGAGTAAGATAATATTTTGAGAAAGAAAAAAATATTATTTGCTAATTTAGTTTCCTTTCTTTCTTTCAGAAACCACTTTCACACTCTTGGCGACTATTTTTATTTAAGCATCATGCTTTGTTCCATTTCAAAACGGGGTCTTCATTTCTTTATAAAAGGGTAATACGATATGCCTCTTTTGCAGGCAGATGTTTTTACTCATTAAATTTTAATGCAGATGTTTCAAAAGGGGTTGGAAAAAAAATCTTATCTTGACAAACAAAAAAAAATAATTTGCTAATCAGTTTTCTTTCTCCCTTTTCTTTCCCTTGGCGACTATTTTTAATTCCATTTTGCATCAATTTTTGCTCCATTTCAAAACGGGGTCTGCATTTCTTTATAAAAGGGTAAATACAACAATGCCTTTTTTGTTAGCAGATGTTTTACTTATCAAATTTTACTGCTGTAGTCAGGAGTCTATAAAAAGATGCTAAAAAAATCGTTTACATTCTCGGACAAAATTTTTCTTTTGATTTTTTCTTTCTATGAAACAGTTTTTAAACGATTTGATAACTCTAAAGAACACATACTTTTCTTAAGCATTACATTTAAAAATAATTATATTTAAATCACAGTTTTTTTAAAGTGCTTGCTTAAAAAGAGAATTTAAAGTAAATGAAAAAGAACTCAAATAGTAATGATATTCCTCACTTTCAAAGAATTAAAATATAATTACACTTATTTAAAAATTACACAACATACACTCTTAGAGCTTCGAAATCAGAAGGGAAGGTACAAAATCTTCGAATTATCAAAAATTCGAATTTAGAATGAATACTTGGAAAATGCTGATTTCACGAAGTTATCTAAAAAGAAATAAACGTTCTTTGAAATTTTTTATTTTTAATGATTATCTGATAAATAAGGTGATACACTTTTGAGAGCAATGGATTATTACTTTTCTGGGGCCATCTCTTTACAAACAATATTCACACGCTGTTGAAATTTTTACTTCTTAAATTATAACTTAATGATTGATTTATACATACTCTTAAGTATTAATTCTTAGTCAAAATTAAACGTAACAAAAGCATTTATCTATCTACATCTATGATAAAGTTCAGCAACAAAGAAGAATCATTCTGAATAAGTTTTGTTCTCATGATAGAATTTTCGCGTATTAAAAACCGAACTTAAAGGAGTAAACTTAAATATGCTAATTAATTAGTGTTAACTATTAAGTTAACGAAATCAGTTTAACTCAACCTTTCGAACTCAACCTAACGAAATCAACCTTTAACTCAATATTTTGGAATATTAATTGTTAATTCCATTCAGTAGATGGAGTAAAAAGAGTTTTCATAAAAAAAACCCAAAATGCATATTTTTTTCGTTGTAAGATACTATTACAATATATAATTATACATTAATCAAATATTATTATTTTGAGCCGCGATGGCTCAGGGGATAGAGCGTTCGTCTTCCAGTGAGGTGAACCCAGGTTCGAATCCCAAAGACGACTGGTCGATACGAATTCTGCTACCAGCTTGTACCGACTACAGTAATGACGTGAAATATCCTCAGTGGTAGATTGATCATGGGTTTAAGTCCCCTTGTATTAAAAAAAAAATACAATTTTAAACTTATAAAAAAGTTTTACTAGTTGGCGAAAATGACGCTATAAATACTTTATTATTTTAAAAAATTCAATTTTAACTTTAATTATTAAGAAAAATGAAATCCTATATAGAAACTTTTTTTATCTAAATATTCTTTTATAACAATAAGTTGAGTTAAATTTAGAATCCCTGATTTTAAAATATGCCGTTAATAGCAATTTGTTCATACTTAATCATTAGGAAACATCAACCTTAAACGCTAATTACTGAAACAAAATAATAATTTAGGTTCATAATGACATTAGAAATTTTACAATTGTTTATAGATATTTAAATTTACGATGATATAATTTATAGATATTTAAATTGAAGAGAATATAATTTTTAAAAAAAATCATAAATATTTAGAATAACTACATTAAAAAATATGTTATGAAATTAGGAGAATTTCAACTATATACTATATATTTTATTTATACTTTTTACTTACATTTTAATTTTCTTTGACTTTATCTATTTTTTAATTCTTTTCACCTGCCTTTCTTTATGAAGTAACGAGGCGGTTTCTATTTAGATAATGAATTTTTATAAAAGTTCTTAACGACAGAATAAACGTATTGCTGTTTTATATTAACTGTGTCATTTCGGAATCCATTCTTTACATAGTTGTTCATTTACTTTAGGGAACACGCGGGAAATTATATTTTTTCCTTTTGTTTTTCTATCAGAATTTTTTCAAGTTGCAATCGGGCAAGCTGGCATTTCGATAATAGTTTTAAATTCTTGTAAATTCACTGCAAAATCAGAGGAAAGTCATTATAGAAAATAACTAATGTCTTAGAATATCTCGCAAAAAGAAATGCTCTAATATTAGTTAGAGCTAGTAAGGCCGAACGCTCCGTTCTTGAAGTAAAAGTGCGAGCTTTGCGCCAAAGTGACGTCACTAGAGAAAATCGGGTTATTGGCGCGGCGAGAGTTTCTTCAAGGGAGTGAACCAGCCCTTCTATTCTCTTTAACCCTGGGTTGACACACGCTATAGCACTCCCCCATCAGAATTATATCTGTGATAGAATTTGATGACCGGATACTACTAGTTGATTCACTTCTGTTTTGTGAGAAGCCGGGAGAGCTGTATTAAGATCCCCGTACTTTTGAGTGCTGGTCGTTAGCGCTGTGTTAAGTTCACGGTCGTGGTCGCTCCTGTGTTTTACAGTCGAGTGTATACGTTATTCGTTGTGTGTGATGGAGTCTGAGCAGCAACGGCGCTAGGAGGTAGATAATGACTCAGTCACAAGTAGCAAGTCAACTGTTCAATGGGGATCATTCATCGAAGTAGGCGTGTTGAGATAGAAGTGGGCGTTACTGTCAAGATAGGCGTGTTCCAACCGAAGTGGAAGTTTCTGTCAAGGTACGCATGTTTACATCACGTCCGGGTCACCAATGTGCGTGTAGTTGTTATTGACAATGTCAACCTTAATCTATGAAGAGGAACCCCAACATGGAATAACTCGTCTTGCATACTAGTGAATTGGAATTTTATTTTTGTAGTGGTAGACACACTACAGTATCCTATGAGACCTCCTTTTCCCACCATCGTGGATATTGGATTTGTTCAGCACACTCGTTAACCTCTATATATATAAGGGTGGGAAAGAAATGCCTTGCTTTATTAGACATGGGGAAAATGGTATTTGATAATTGCAAAATTCCATATCCAATTAATACAAAGTTCAATCCCTTGTCTCGCCTGTCAATCGAATTACAAAAATTCTCATCACTTGTATACATCAATTCAAAATATGGTACTTAGATACCGTGAAGTTGATGGTCAACATGTAAAAACGCCTGTTTATGGTGTGCGCAGGTCACAGGCTTCAGATAGTACACCAATCAAACACAATATCGTGATCATTCACGGTAACAATACATACGATAATATCACGACCATTATCGATAACATCTAAAGAATATCATAACAATAAATATTGATATTATGAGTGTTAAACATAATTTGGGAAATGTCCTTTTTAAAAATTTAAACATGAGAGAATATCATGTTAAAGAGATATTTTCAAGATCCGAAAAGTGTAGTTATAGGGAACTATGTTCTTGACTACTCTGAAGAATCAGTCGTGTTGTCCCTAAATAGTTGCTTCATTTAATACTTTTTAAGCCATGAATTGTTTCGTTACTTCGATAAATAATACTCTTAGGTGGAATTTAATACTTTCAGTTATCTGCAGTCAATTTCAAGAAAAATGATGCAGATTCTCCACACGTATATCCCGGAGTTTGATTAAAGAACTGTAGATGAAGAGAAGATTCTATGAAGGCTTAGAACTGATGAGTGAAAATTTCTAATCTTTTACAGTCTGTAAATACTAAATGCAACTCTTTATTAATCATCTAAACTATTAATCTGAAGATATTTACTGAAAGTTGTTTCTTTCAAAGACAATTGTTTCTTTCCATATATTGAAAATAGTTTTGTATAAGTCGGACCATTTTATCACGTGATCAATACTTTAAGTAGTTTGAGTCGTGGTGGCTCAGAGGATAAAGCATTCTCCTCCGAATGATATGACTCGAACTCCAGCGGTGGCTGGATGTTCGAATTCTGTTCTCAGCTCTCACTTACCAGTGCTGAAGTAAAATATTCTCAAAGGTGTTAGATTCCTCTTGCTGTCTGAATTACTGTGGCGGGGTTTCCTGGTATATTTCTCCATGCAACAAAAGTACTGCTTAGGGACCGAAGGTGTGCGGTATGAGTCCTCGTTAAACTGCTCTAGCGTAAAGTGCTCGACTTCGCGTGCAGGTTCGTCGGGCTACCGAATCTGGAGTGACATTCCATCCACAGAGTTTCAAAATTGTGATGGCATGTCATCGGATCATCCTCAAGGATGTTTCCCAGACCGTCCCCAATAGCCCATTGTGCAGCTCTAGTGCGACGTAAATAAACTACATCAACATGTAACACAAGCGCTAGCTAGTTTTTCCCAATCCAGGGTTTTCTTCTGAATTTGGTTCACAATTACAAGGCTACGGAATTTAACATCGATAGTCGTAGAACTCTAAATTCGGTAGACTGTCAAAGAGAAAAGTGCCCATTGTCGTCGTTATATTTTTAGTGACTGGAAAATAAATTTGTTGGATCCAATTTTTTCTTGTAGATCATTTTTGGTTCTCGCCATCATAAATTTAGGTATTGTCTAATATTTTGCATCCCATATTTAAAGGAATCTCATTCTCCTCTAGATTAAGGAAATAAAACATTCTTTTTAAAACATTCTTCAAATTACTGTAGTACTAGCAATCAGGTAAATGATTTGTTAAATGGTTATGTACTTAGCGCTAAACATATCTGCACTTAATATACTACCATAGCCGATCAAATGATCGAACTTTATGTTTCTTGATTGAATGTATGAAATATGGATGTAAGGAAGGAAATAAACTTAAAAAACTTTATTATAATTAAGCAAAATTGTATATTTCTCATTTTTATGTATTACAAACACAAAGAATAAAAATTTTTAATTCATTGCTCAAAGCATATTTTACATATACATTTTCATTTGTACATTTTCCACAAACATATTTCTGCGAATTATTATTCCTATAATTCTTATTATTCTTATAATTAATATTATTTCTTCTAAGAACTTGTGCAGTCTTGTTTCGGCATTTCTCTGGGTAAAAACTAACAGTTAGAAATGAAGTAAAGCCATCAAAATGAAATACTTACCAAAACATTTCGTTTTTGTCACTTTTTCCGACACAAAAATACCAATCTAAAATTTTAGGCACTTTTTGAAAATTTGAGTTCAGTTATTCTAATTGAACCAACTTCGCAACAGTGTTTGCAGAGATCATCGAATGCTATACGTTGAACAAGCATTTCTGATCCGATAACCTTATAATGCAATAAATTGTTCTCCTGGTCAAATGGCCGCTTGTCGTAGAATTTGGACAAGTATTATTTGAAACAAAAAATAGAATATTATCTGTATACAATTGTTAGAAAAAGTCATGAAGTGCAAAAACGATAAGCTCATTATCGATGCAAAAGTTCTTAAACGGTCATTTGACGGATTATGGTATGCTTATAGTGTTCATTTAGAGTTATGCACAATTTGGTACATACACAAATTCTATAGAATGCTGTTCATTTATGGAATCTCATTCTCCTCTAGATTAAGGAAATAAAACATTCCAACCAATCCTAGAAGAAATCTTTGGGCTTGAATCGCAAACAAAATTAAATTTATGAAATTAATTACCTGAATTAAAGACTAGGAACAATTAAGAAGCATCTGGGATGGTGAGCTGTAGCGAGAAGGAAGGTTTATCAGAAAATTGTGATTTCCAGTATTTTAGCTTTACTACCGTTTATATACACTAAAATCAAATTTCATAGATCAAGAAACATTTTGAAATTAGTGATGAGTTCAGGGCCCGACTTAGCCTAATTGGGGCCCAGGGCAAAAAAATTCTTTGGGGGCCCCCTCTGCTTCACTACTCACAGTAGTAAAGATTTGAATTTTATGTAGGTATTTAAATTTTTCACCTCATTATACATAGCTAACTAGAAAATGTACTAGAACCTAAAATAGCTATAAAGTCCCCCCCTATCCTCCAATGATCGAACGAAATATCGATCTGTCCATTTTATTGTTTTTCTGACAATTATATGTCCATCATGCCAAATGTTCGCAAATACGAAGGCTCAATCAAGCCAATCAGAAGCCTGTATTCTTGTAAACATATCGTATATTGCTATATGTAAAAATACAGGCTTTTGATTGGCCAAATTAGTCCATCGTAATTGCAAAAATTTAGTTGAATTCAGCACTAGAAAGACATGGATTTTCGAAATATAGATTTTTTGTGTTCGTACGATAGATTAATGAAGAGGCTAAAATAAAACTGACGGATTTTACACTGAACTGATATTTTGTCTAAAAAAAGTTCTTAAATGAAAGAAACCTAAAATAAACTTTCAATTCGATTTTGGGGCCCCCTCTAATGTGGGAGCCGGGGCAACTGCCCCGTATGCCCCTGCCTTTGTCAGGCTCTGGATGAGTTACATAATTTTATAATTTAAGTATAGTGATGGGAATTTCGTTATTTTTCTTAAATTCAGTCACATAGGTATCAAATTTTGGGGGTTTAGAAACTTATTTAATACATTGCGCAAAATAAAAACCCGAACTTAAGAATCTATTGAATCACGAATTTAAATACTTTTTTAGTAGTTGGAGGAGCCTGAAACCAAATAAGGCTATTTTCAGTTTTCAAATCTGACACTTTCTTTACACTTGTGTTTGGATACTTGATCATGCAGCCGCAGTAAATTCTACTAACTACTAAAATTTAATACTAGTCAATCAATACTGATATTTTAATTCTGAATTAAGGTATGTATATTTTGACATTTTAATTGTATTTGACAAAACCAAAGCTTTAGTGGAATCATTTTGAGAATTCATTCCCTTGATATTGTCTAGCATATTAAAAAAAATTCAATTAACGTTAAGGGTTTCAAACTTTTGATAACTCTTCTGTCTAACATTTGAATAACACTATGTCTGCCAGATAGCAGCAGCTTTTCACTCAAACCATAAGAGTTAAAATTTGATACGTAAGAATCCCGGTTCCAATATCTTTCAAGCTAAGAAATTNGAAATAAAAAATTTCATTTTTCGATAGTTAGATCAAAGAAAAGAGCATGAGAGTTGGATTACCGACGTTGTCAGCCTTCATCTATCATAACGTTCCCCAAGATATAAAAGAGTTAACACATCTTATATACTAGTAATTTGGAATTGTATTTTTGTAATGGTAGTTACACTATATTATTCCCCCATCAGAATTTCATTTAGGATAGGATTCGATGAATGGATATCACTAGTTGATTCATTGCTGTTTTGTGAGAGGCCGGGAGGGCTGTATTAAGATCACCGTACTTTCTGCTGATCGTGAAAGCTGTATTAAGTTAACGGTCGTGGTCACTCCTGTGTTACCTTTAGCAGTAGAGTGTATGCGTTGTACGTTGTGTGTGATCGAGACTGAGAAGCAACAGTGCGAGGAGGTGGATAATGTCGCAGTCACAAGTAGTAAGTCAACTGTTCAATGTGGACCATCCATCGAAGTAGGGGTGTTCAAATTGAAGTGGGAGTTACTGTTAAAGTAGGCGTGTTCAAATCACGTCCGGGTCACCAATGTGGGGAGTAAGTAGTTATCGACAATGTTAGCCTTCATGTATGAAGAGGTACCCCACCATAGAATCGAGTTAACATGTCTTATATACTTGTGAATAGGAATTATGTTTTTTGTAGTGGTGGAAACGCTACATAGCTATCTAAGAAAGGAACTTAGTATTTGACCCCTTGCACCACGCTGGAATTCGAAACAATCCGTGATTAATTTAGGCACCAGAATGTTCGCGAAAAGAGCTTAAACAGCGGAGTGTCGTAACTTTAAATACGATATCTTACGACTAAAATGCAAGATAGCCTCACTGGTCTTTACTTCAAGCTATGGTGCGCTTGTGAATTTCAAGTGAATTTGAATATAAAAAAAACATTTTAAAAAATTTTAATTATTACGATACGACAAATTCTGTGTTATTAATAGCAAAATACAAATAATTTGAAGGGAATCTATGGCAATAATATGAGATTAAATATATTTTCAGAATTTTGTCATAATCAACAGGTCCAAAATATATATATATTTTTTTTTTAATAACGGCAGGCACTGAGCTTTCGTTCTTCGCCTTAGAAGATGCCGGAAGCGTTGCTCATTTATCGTTACCCAGCGGGCACCTCTGAACCAAAGTCACGGAGGCGAGCAACATTACCCACGCCACACTGCCACTAATACCCGTTCATAGGGTGGGCCACATTCACACATCAGAAGACAACAGAGAGAGAGAGAGAGAAACAACCATGCCCAGAGCGGGATTCGAACCCGCAGCCATTGGCTTCGCAGTCAGACACGTTAACCACTCGGCCACCTGGCCGGCTTTCTAAAATATAAAAGAATATAAATAAACAATAAGATACGAACCCATAAGATTCAGTCATTCTTGTTTAACCCGAGACGAAGAGCAGGGCTCGCGTTATTCACGTGATTCATGAAATTAAACAAAGAGCCGGACTCGTGATATTCAAGTTTGATCTAAAATTTTCTTCCAGAGTGAAATAGTTAATTTAGTTTTTCAAACTTCACTTATGAAAATTGTTTTTTTATAAACTAATAGATCCAAATGATGCATCTATGATGAAATCGTCGTTTTTAAAGTGGGCCTTTTTTTTTAAGATTGAAAGTAAACAATTGTTTTTAGGAGGATGCTATGAATTTATAATAGTAGTTATAAACTTGCGTTGTAGGAATTTCAGTTTTAAAGCTCATCTTCGGAATTTTAAGGCATAAAATATCAGCTGAAAAATTACACCACCCCAAGTCTGAAATTTTACCTGGTAAGGATTATGCTTAGTGTTAGAAAAAGTGAATATGTATTACTCTCTTATTTGTAAAACACAGAAACTAAACTTTTTGAACTGTCCATTTTTCTCCTTACATTTACGGTCCTCAGAATAGAAGTTCTGAATTTAAATTTTTGTTGACAAGAAAACACACCATTCCTTCTGATATTTATGAAAAATACTTTGAATGGGAGTAAAACCCCAGTTACGCTTCCACCAATTATTCCTTTTACTTTAATTTTCTCCAAATCAGTTTATTAAACTGTGAATCGCAACCCAAATTGAAGGCACCAAAATTTTCAGAAATTTTGGCGTTTAACTAATTTACAAAATATTTTTTCACAATATATTTGAATTTACCGAAGTATTGTATTTTTATTGTATTATGTTTTCCCATTGTTGTGTCTTAGTGTCTGACTACTATTCGAATCGAAATGAGATTATACATTTAGAATCTCTGTACTCAAAGCTTTCTAAACACTAAACTTACGTTAGTACTCCAATTTACAAAATTATAGCAGTTTTTATGCAATGTGATAACAGTGGATAGATTTAAAGAGTTTTATTTTGTTATCTCAATCACATTTTTCACAACCTTAAACATGATATCTCTTGTTTTTAAAATAATTGTCTACATTTTTTCAGGAGTATCTATGGTTTTGATACTTATGCTTTGAACTAAATATCAAGAAAAAAATAAAATTTCATTTCTTATACGCACAAAGACATGGGCGAAAAGTTTTAAAATAAGCTATTTTTACTACATGGGTTCCCTAACTCAGTAGTATAGGCACTTTTAAGATAATAGTTCAACATATTTGATTGATTGCTAAATAAAATCCTCAAAGTATATATTTTTAGGTGTTTAGCGAATATGTGAAAGCCGTTTTAACCTAAAAATGACAATTTAAAAATTTTTGGTACTTGTGTAAGTTTTTACACGCAATATAACTAGTTAAAATTTTATATTCGTATTTTAATTTTCAAAATTATTCTGATACCTTAAAACAAAGTGACCTAATACTGTAATACATTACAGTAAAAGTGAAGAAACAGTTCTACTCTGACGTGTGTAGGATTTGCACAATGCTTACTATAGTTTCTTAACTGTTTCGAAAATATGATGTGGTTCCTACACCCAAAAATTAAGAAACTAACAGGTCTCTTATGAAAACGAATTGTCATGGAAATTATCGAAATGAGATTAACATGAAAGGGAATGTTCCAAAAAGATGAGTGTGTTAATTAAATGTAATAAACTGGGAAAATGTATTGCATTTAACCTATACTATTTGTTAATTTTTTTTTTCTATTTCAGGTATCAGCAAGTGTTCAGCAATCTCTTGCCAGAAGCCCCTAAGAAGACCATTGTGACGTCACCACCCTTTCAATCAGAAAAGTTTATGTTCTTCAGATTTGTGCTTTCCAGTAATTTTATCTTTGTATTAAGACTTCCTGGTTTCAAAACTATTGCCAAGTCATTGGTTTCAGAACTAGTCAGCATGTTATCAGAAGCATGTATATAATATGTGAACAGGTTATTCAAACTTATCGGAATATTTTGTATATTACTTCCTTTTTAATTGCTTTCAACTCAATTTAATAACAAAGTATAGTAACGCTTTCAGATCATGAAAACTTTCAGGAATTTTGGTCTCAGTTTGAGAACGCGATTCATAATAATCAAAATTTGAATAAAATCGACACATTCACACATACTTAAAAAGTTTACTGAAATCAAAAGCACAAACCGCTATACAGGGTTTGACATTGTCTGAGAAAAACTACGATATTGCAATTAAAATTCTTGAAGAGCGATACGGCAAAAAAGAAATTTTGATTAGAACGTATATTAATAATTTATTAAATTTGTCGCCTGTTCGTAACACATCTAACTTAATAGCGCTCTGCGAATTATACGATACGTGTGAAATTCAAATACGTAATTTAGAATCACTTGGCATCGAACTTGAAAGTTACGGTAATTTACTTTTCCCAATTATAACTAAACTAATACCCGATAGTTTAATTTTAAATTATTATCGTGAATATAAAAACGAAACAGATTCATGGAGCGTAACAAAATTGTTAAGAGTATTTAAAATCCGAAATCGAAATAAGAGAAAGAACATTTTCATTTCAGAAAAAAGAATCGAATTCTTTTCAGGGTTATTCTAAAATTAGAAATGAAAGAGAATTTTCTAGTTTTGAAAATAATAAATTCCCTAAAATGAGATACGATAGGAATGCGAGTGCTGCTACTTTAAATGTTATTAGTAATGAAAATAAATGTGTATTCTGTTCTAATGATCATAAAAATGATGAATGTAAATTAAGCGTTGCCGAAAAGAAACAATGTTTATTACGTCAAGGAAGGTGTTTTAATTGTCTAGAAAAATTTCATATTGTCAGACGATATTTTAAGAAACCTGCTTGTACTATTTGTCGTAAAAAACATAATGAAAACATATACTATAAACTTTCAGAAACAAAACCCAAAGTCCCCCAAAATGAAACTATTGTGTCTTCTGTAGCAGAAAGTAAAAATTCGAGCAGTAATATTTTACTCCAAACTGCGACGGTATTAGCAGTAAATAAAAACAAACAAGCTGAAATACGTATCTTATTTGATTTAGGTAGTCAAAAATCATTTATCGAATCGGATCTTGGAAATCAGTTAAAATAATAGGGAAAGAAACTATAAAAATATATCCTTTTGGTTCGATAGAACCCCAGAAGGAAACAATAGATCGTGTTTTAGTAAATTTAAGAAATATTCATGAACCTGCGAAAAAAATACAATTAGAAGCGTTAACTACCCACGCTATTAGCAATGCAGTTATTCATCGGCCAGAGAGAGAAGTAAGAAATTTATGCTGCGTAAACAATTTAACACTCGCAGATGAATCACTGTGGGAACGAAGTGAAAGTTCTTGTGTCAGACTACTGATTGGCGCCGACAATTATTGGAATATTATTTCGGGTAATATATTCAGGATTCCACAAACGTCTCTGGTTGCAATGGATAGTCTTTTCGGATGGGTCTTGAGTGGTTCATCTTATTTAGAAAACAAAACAAAAAGTGAAAGCGAAATAAAAATGATGAAAGTAGTCGTAGATTCTTCGCGTGAAGAAAATTCAGATTTAATTCTGCAAAATTTTTGGAAATTGGACTTATTGGGTATCGAAAACAATAAAAGGGATTTGACTAATAATGATGGGGAATTTATATTACAGGATTTTGAAAAAAATATAAAATTTCAAAACAATAGATACGTGGTAAAATTAGCGTGAAATGAAAATGCTGTAAATTTAGAAAATAATTATAAAATCGCGAAATACCGCTTAGAAAGTTTAGTTAAGAGATTTGATAAAGATAAGGAATTTTACGATCGGTATAGGGATGTATTATCGAAACAGATTTGCGAGGGGATAGTGGAACCCGTTGAAATAAATGAAAAGGGTGAAACGAATATGGATAGAGAATATTATATGCCTCATTATGCCGTCATACGTGATGATAAAACTACAACGAAGTTAAGAATAGTTTATGACGCCTCATCACACTTGCAAAATAAATTATCATTGAACGATTGTTTACATTCCGGACCGAATCTTAATCTCGACTCTTTAAGATTACTTTTAGATTTCCGAAGCAAATCATTCGCTTTAACTGCCGATATAGAGCAAAGTTTTTTGCAGATATTGTTAGATGAAAGAGATAGAAATGCAGTTAAATTCTTATGGTTCGAGAACAATTTTGAAAGTAAAGAGAAGTTAAAAATTAAAATTTTTCGAATGACGTGCGTGTTATTTGGTGCTACTCCAAGTCCATTTTTATTGGCTGCAACTCTCAAATATCATATAAGAAAGTACGAACGTAAATATCCGGTAGCATATAAAATTTTAAATTCTAAATTGTATGTTGATGATTTTATTTTTGGATTAGATGACGAAAACCAATACCTTTTGATTTATAAGGAAATAAAAGAAATTTTATGTGAAGGTGGATTTAATATGCGTAAATGGAAAACAAATTCGGAATCTCTTCAGATAAAACTAGACCATTTCGAAAATTGTAACAAAAATTTAAATTAATCTTCTAAGGTGTTAAGTTACGTTTGGAATTCGATAGTTGATACGCTAAAATTGCCGGGAGAATGTGAGGCAATAATTGGGAGTGGTAGACGGCCGTTTTGCTTCCTGTTTCACATTCTTTCAGTCGTTTCGGAGCTTCTCGATTTATTCTTCTGTAGTAGAGCAGCAGTATATCCTCTGTAGAAAGCTTCTGGTAAATCTCAGTACCATTAGTTACAATACACAGATTATCAGTTTGAATATTGCTTTCATATTTAGTGTTATTGATACTGTTACAAACAGTTCATAAGTTCTATGATTTTACGCTAAATTCATTTACAAGATCTTAACCGTTTCTTAATTTGGAATTTCTAGTTCAAAAATTTAACTTGAGGATAAAGCACTTTAAAATAAAATAAAATTAAGTAACAAATTACTAACTAAAAAATGGCAAATTTTATTTAATCTGAGCCCATTTAAATGCTTTGTATATAACAATTTATTCATACATAATTGTACTTTTAAAACACAGTAATGACTGGTATAAAAATTAGGCTTTATTGCAATAAAGTTGTCCAGAATCAAATATTTCAACTTTTTATAATTACAATTTAATTTCCCTAACCCGTAAAATTGCTTCCGAGCTGTATAGTTGATAGATTTGTTGTGAAAATTTAAGTAATGTTCATTTAATCAAACCTTTGCTTCCGTAAAGAAATTAGACAATGAAGAAAAATTTGAAAAAATTATCACAGCCAAAGCTGATGTCGTCAGGGGATTTGAATGTATTATTACTTATTTTAATTGCTTTAATATTTTGAATTTTTTCTTACATTTTGTTTCTGTAGTTTTATGTATCATTTTATTGAATTGTCAATTTTGAAATAAGCTATGCATTCATTCGCTATTGTAAGAGCCCAGATGCAAAACCTTCACACTACTGCCTAAAAGAAAGGTTTTTTTTAACAAGCGTGTAAGCAGTTTAATTATTAAACATTATTACTTTACTTAATTATTAAACATTATTACTTTACTTAATTATTAAACATTATTACTTTACATTATTACTCAACTTATTATTACTTTAATTATTTTTTTTTAAATAATTAAAGTAATATAATTTTTAAGAATATTCATAATAGTAACAAACTTGTGTTAAACAGCCTTTCGAGATGATAGTTAAGATTTGCATCTGGACATTTGAGAGTGATATAGAAATTGTTATTTTTCGGATCATGTGTTGTAACAATTCGTTTTAAGTAAATCATCTCTGGTAGAAATACATTGTTTTATTAAATCTTGTAAATATCTTGAATAAATTTGTAATTATTTTTAGTGTTATTGCTCAATATTACTTTTGCATAGTACATTTTGATTTTTAAATGCCGTTCAAATATTATACAAGTGAGTTTTGCACTATTGTTAGCAAAATAATAATTTCACTTCCATCGCTTATGTACGAAACTTTTTTTTCACTTACTAGAGTGAATAATCAGCTTCAAATTAAAATAAATGATGCTAGTTAGCAAAACAAACATGTTCTATTTTATAAAGTTTCCTGAGTCTTGTGTTTACTTTCAGTGGTCTCTGTAAGTCTCTGAAAAAAAAAAAAAAGAAAGAAATTTATTCCAATTCTTAACTTTGCACTTGGAAAACTTCACTTCAAATTTAATTTTTCTCCATTAAGAAGTTTTGAATATGTTGTTGTAATGTTATACGCTCACCCTTGTCGGCAAAATAATCTCAAACCCATCTCTGTATTGCTTTTGTAATACTTGAACGTCGAATTTGAATAAATTCGAAAAGTAAATAAAATTGATCAATCAAACTACTCTCTAAATGCTTCCAGAAATTCTAAAACTAATTTTGCATTAAATGTTCATGCTTTCAAGCACATGCTGTCCCTCAGTGGACTGATCGTTAAGTCTGAGAAGGGACCGAGGGTATGCGGTCCTCGTTTAACTGTTCTATCGTAAAGCGCAGGTGGCCGCCCGCGAAGGTGGTCGGGCTACCGAAGCCATCCCATCTGCAGAGGATCAAAATTGTGATGTCTTCGGTTCAGGGATAATTCCCAGACAGTTGTGAGTAAAACAATCAAGCTCATACTGATATCTTGCTTTTTTTTGCCAATTTATTCTGTCTTTGATTTATAGTAGATACTTACTTTAATGTATACGCTATCCAAACTACGGAGACCAATGCAATTGGTTAATAAATTAAATATATTTATACTGGTATTTTTAAGGTACATCTTAATAAACATCAAATATACTTAAATATAATCTACAATGAATACGAAAATGTCACTCATTATTTCTAACTGTAATTATCGATTGTTAGAAAAATTAAATGACATAATTATTATATGATAATTATTGAATACGAATGTCTTTAGAAATTTTATTTGCTGCAATGAAATATCGGCCCATGTGAAAATCTGAATTAAATTGGACAAATATCGAGTTTTTTTTTTTTTTTCTTTTTTTTACATTTCATTATGATATTGATATCATCGGTAAGAGGAATTTATGGTCGTGTTGGTTTATGAATCTGAAACGCTGTCACCAACACACGCTTCGTATCACTAATAAATACCCTAAAATTTCTTGGTTATAATTGTTTTAATTCAAAATTTTTGGCATATTAGCGCAATAAAACTATTGAATTAAAATACTAAAAGATAAGGAAATCGAAACAATCATTTTTTTTTTTTCAAACTTGTTCTATTCACATAATTCTTCTCACATGATAAAAACGAGGGTTTGTGTCAGAATACTTTCCATCCTTCGAGTATTCCATTCCTTTTTGTGAGGAGCTTTGCAACTATTTTTAACACCATGGGGGGGGGGCATCGATGACCGGCACTCAGTTTGTTCGTAGCGCCACGGGGATCAAGATTATTAGAAAAACATAATTCGAGTAAAATGTTAATTTTTTTTATATTATCGTTACTAAAATGGTTTGAAAAAATAAATACAATATAGAACACTCAAAAATAGTTTTATTTATATACACAGAGATGTCAACTTGCTCCGGACAGCAAATAAATATTTTCAAGTGGTAGTTGGTTTAATAAATTCAATTTAGTAGATTTTTATCCGCCACTATTTCTAAACAATTCATAAGCTTAGGCTTATATAATTCACCACTTTTTCAGATATGCCATGCTAAACCTTTTAAAAAACTAGCAAAATCTGTCTAATATTTCCAAGATTAGCTTGTTGCTATTTACCGTTTGGCCAGACGGGCAAGCTACGTAAAATTAGCGTGGCATTCAACGTGTTAACTAAACACAATAGTTATTTGCAGGTTTAACGTAAGACTTGGAATGTAAGACAAGACAACATGAATACTATCAGGACTGGACTTGAATGAAGTTACAATAACTGATCTATTAATTTTGCTTTATCTGAATTTAACATGTTTTTGTGATCATTGGTGGCAGTTATTGAAAAGTTTTTTTTAATATTGTTTGAGTTGATTTTGAAAATGCCTGATTATTTTATAAATCTTACCGGAAAACAATTTTAATTGTATAATAATAGATTGATCTATGCAACATAGGGAAATATCAAAAACAAAAAGACATTAACAAATATGGTAAATTGTAATGTTAAATTTTTTTTTTATTGAAATCTTATTTCACTCTAAAAATTCGAAAATAATGCTTTTAATCAAATTGCTAAATACGTTTTGAACGTCAACCAGTAATCGTAGCTGCCGATTCTTCCAGTTTTTCCTGAAGTTTCGTTTAAAAATATATAAAAACATTTGCTTTTCTATCTCATTCTTATATTTAATTTAGAATGGTTTTAATGGTGATGATAATAGATTAACAGTGCGTTTAAACAACGGCAAATTATAAAAATATTTTTGCATGATATTGAATTTTTATATTACCACTAGAAAAAGAGCACCAAAAGTTGGCTGACTTTAGGGATTTTAATAAAACCTTCTTTGTTTTAATTTTGCCAGTAATTGAAAGAATAAAAGAATAATTATCACGGTAACTGAAATATAATATCGTTTTTTATTTGTTTATTTTTTACTGAAAATAAGCAAATAAAAGTAGTGGATTTAGAGAAGGATTCGATCCACAGTAAATCG